ACCCTATATCGAACTCAACTGCTATTGTCCAATGACTTGCCGGTTTGTACCGAACAACTCACTTACAAGTCGGTTTCTGTTGATGTCTCCGTTGAAATGCTCGTCATCGTGGCTACTGGACGTGAGTAAATTCTTTGAGAATCAATTTTCCGCTACCGAACAAAAATGCCGGCACATGAAAAAACGTGCACTTGTGGAACATAACTGGACCTGGCCTAGGTAATGCTGAGAAAAAACACGGGCACTATTCACCCTTTGCTTCCAGAAATCTGGTTACCGGTTTTTACCGCTTTTTTTTCTCTTAGGGCTGATCCTGCTGAAAACTTGTCTCCCAGAGTACTTGACCCCCCCCTCCTGCGAAACGCGGAGATCACATTGCCCCAGCCCGAAACCGCCTATCGCCCGCGCCATAGGTATATACGACTTATCTGTCTCAACCGCGGTACGAGTAATGCGGACTTCGGCTGTTGCGAGCTATGCGATGTGCAAGAGCATTTGAAGATAACATTCTTTCTGACTGTCTGCGATCGTTATCCTGCTAATCCTTTGCCAAAGCTCAACTTCAACAGAGGACGAGATCATTCTTTCGAAGGAAGAGCGCAGACGAGCACAAGCGGGAAAGTTTACCCTATGTTCCCCGCATCCTCATCTTCCTTAGTCGTCAAGCCGTAAAGCATGAACGTCTCGGATCGATCGAGTCCTTCATAAAATGCGCCCCTCATTCTGTTTCTCGATTTGAATCATAGAGGTTTTTGAGACCATACGGTTCATATAAAAGCTGTGCGGTAAGCCGACTGGTATGGTAGTTTTGCCCTATTGGAGGGAACTCGTAGAAATTGATCGAATTTGGTGGGATGGAGGTTTGGTCAGTTTGAAAAGGAGCACGATTCTCGATTTGATACGTGTGTTAAGTAAAAGATACTATATAACCTCCACTCTATGGAGTCACGGTGGGAGACATTCGAAGGACCCCTTGTGCAAAACTGAGGCTCACGTAATCCCTTACGCTTGGAATTGGTTCAGTCCAAGCTCTCTCTCCTACATATTTTACGCTTGGGTACTTCTAGTTGTGCACAAAGAGTCACATGAATGTCCTCCCCAGATGATAGGCGCCGAAATCCCTATTTCAGGTAACATATCGCTCTTGATCACCAATCCAGATGGGGATTGGGCAGAAGCTACAGAACAATACAGCGATGGCTTCAATCACATTTGGTGAGTACAGTTTTGAGGAATGGGTGCCACTTTGGATAGTTTTCCCTTCTCATAGTCTCCACGCTCTTCTGTAGAAGAGTTTGCAAGCAAGACCTTCTTCAGGGTTTACAATGGTCCTCACATTGGTAATTGGCTGTTTTCATTCCGTTCAAGTGCAGCCACGCAGTCGTGCAACTACAAGGTCTATCAGGCCATGTATCACACACGTAAGTATTGAATCCTGTCTTACATTCAAGGAAAAAAAGAAGCAGACCGTCTCTCTATATGCTCCTTTCCTCTCTTTACTAATCTCTTTGTCGCAGAATGAGAGCAGGGAAGGGGCTGAGAGTGACAACCCTTCCCGGATTTTTTATCGGTATGATTACTCTTACGACACTGAAAGGCATTAAGACTTCGCGATGACGAGCGTCGACGCGCTGTAAGTCGCTGTAACGAACTGCAAACGCGCTATCGCTGCAGTGACCCTCCAATGCCGTAAATGGGAACGCAGCGGCAGAAGAGTATCGCTTGGCTTAGGCTTGTATTTCGAGAGAGTATGGGTAGCAGGAGGGTATTCGCTGCCTTCATACGGTCTGGTTCCCTTTAGTCGTACTCTTTCAAAACACTAGCGACCGGCACCGACCGATTCCCCTCTACAGCATAGGAGCGCGATTGCAGTGTAGCGCGTCGACGCAACCTCGTCATCCAGGCAGTTGATTAGGGCGGTCGTCAACGGGCCGCAGCGCGTGCCAGGAACTATTTGCTTTTTCCAGGCTAATTTAGTCTTTTTCCCACCTTGTGGAGATAAGGAGCTGCTAATCTGGGAAAAAGTAGCCAAAACAGTGAAAAGTTGGAAAAATGACTAACTAGCCTGGAAAAAGCAAATAGTTCCTGGCACGCGCTGCGGCACGGTTGACGACCGCCCTAATCAAACTGCCCGGGCTGACGTGGGTATCTCAACGCTATATCCCTATGTACTGCATTTCACTAAGCGTTAGGACAATCCACAAGCAGCTTTCTGCCTTTTCTCACTTCCTCAGCTTCAAATAAACCTCCTGAGGTTGCTCGATGGGGACATTTTTCGTTTCGATCAGTAAAGGAGATTTTTTTCAGTGTGAAACCTGTAAACTATTTGCCCGAGCGTTCGTTCACACTAAAGACACAGGTCTTCCAAGAGTAAAAGTGCAAATTAAAAGGAACTGAAAAGGGAATCTGAGAAGCTATAAAAATGCCTCCCACCTAACGTGCAGATTTCTTTTCGACAATGGCGGTCTTCTTTTCAAAGATCATAGGGGTGAAATGTAGGGTGAGCCTCAATGAGCGCATATCAGAAGTGACATGAGAACATGAGGCCAAATACAAGGCGAGAGTTCGCTAGGTGGCCGCTTGCTACTTCTGCTCTGCGTTACCGCAGATGACCACTGAATGTTTACTGTTTCTTATTAAGCTGGACGCGATAGTCAAATGGATCTGTTCTGGTCAACATCAATCAATCTCGACTCGGACATGGGCCTGCCACAACCACTATACGGTAGGTTACCCTAGCATTCTTTGTGGATTTAGTAAAGTTTTGGTCCGAGTAGGCGTCTTGTCGGGAGTTGGTCTGTATTGGCGTGGGAAAGGACAATCGAAATTGTGCCTCATCGCTGGTGGGCCCCTCCTCTTAGCGTGCTAAGGAGGAGAGGCACGCTAAGAGGAAGGCACAATGGTAAACCTGACCCCATTCATGCGATCAGTATGTACCCTCTGTAACAAATTACGAGAGAACTGTGCCTTCAAAAAGTTCGCGTCCCGATGAACTTTGTCAGTTATGAAGAATGCCTGCTTAAATAGCACTTTAGCTCGGTACGCTTGAAATCTTTTCAAGGTCTTCAACATGCGATCGTTATGCATCTCACGAACTATCCAGTCATGGTTCCACCAGAACGAGTTCAGGCTTTCCTGACTATAACCGCGAATCGTGACGGAAAACAAACGCAGGTGATAAAGAATACATTCGCTGGTAAAACGAGCAGCTAGAACGGTCTAGAAACATGCCTAAAAAGAAGGGCTGAATTTGGTGGTAGGTCCTGCCTTGCACGCTCCTGCAACGCAGGACCTGGAAAAGAGAGATCGCATTTTTCCAGCCACTTGGGCTGCTCGTTTTATTCTTATCGGTACGAAACCATCCAGTTAAACAGATAAAATGGAGGTTTCTCATCAGTCCAAAGCTCTCTACCCTTTCACCCACGTTACCTGTTCTAGGTTTACGCTTCGAATGGAATTTGGCGTGATGCCTGCACTTACAACTTCTACTTCCCACCTTTCATGTGCCGAACACCCAACGAGCTTCTTCATTTCAACGTGAGTATCATCATTACTTCAACATAATTACGAAATAGCGGGTATGGGACGTTACTTTGAAGGGGTGATGCGCCGCAACTAGCCCTACTATTCTGCAGAACTTGCACGTTAATCAATTAGGTCCTGGTGCAATTCAGCGTCGTGGCGTCGCCACGTGGGCGTAATCTCCCACATGTGGCTGTCTGGGGAAGTCGTGCAGGTCTCCCGATAGGTCAGGTCACCATCGCCGCGCAGGGATAAATTCCACCGTGGTTGTTCAGGCATCTTCCAGTGTCGCTTCACTCAACTGAATTTTCAACTGCATTTCAGCTGATGCAGTAGGGACAAATGAGTTCCCAAATGTATTGCTCATAATTGTTGAAACATCCATAAAAAGACTTTGAGAATCCTTTAAGCACCTTTTGAACATCATAGAACTTGGTACAAGCCTTAGCATTACTCTGATCTTCTTGGCGCGCGGCGGCAACCCACTCCCACCCACTGTGGCTGGATGACGTGACCGGGAGGGTTGCCAGGCTTCCCTGTCTGAGCTCTGAATAGGAATACCTTTCGAGAACTCTCCGGCCATGAATTAATAACCTGTGCATGGCGTGACCCCTTTCGCACCATCTATCATTTTGCTCTTTCACTAAGCGACTCCCGTCAGTTTACTTTTCTGTGAAAAATTCCTTCTTAAAATGATTTCTTTATAGTTCTTCGCGCAAGATCTACAAGGATTCGCCGTACAACGTGCAGGTGTCATGTACTGCGCAGAGAGTGAGTTGCTTTTGATCCAAAAACGACCGATGGCAAGCTCTGTTATCAGAGGACTTGCAACAGTACTACGTCCATAGAAATGCATATGCAGAATATGGAAGTAAATTCGGAACAAATACCTCTCATGAACGTCCTCCGAGACTGTGAAAAGTTTTTTTTTCAGTAGCACCTCCTCCAACATCACTTTCGGGATGTCTGAACGGAGGCGTGATGAACCCCGCAAACACGTCATGCTTCTGTCCACCTGGGTTCACTGGTAATCTCTGCGAACAAATTGTGAGTTTCCAGTTCTGAATGTTGGACACGATTCAACGACTGCAACTTCATGAGTCTCAACTTTTATTGGAACTTAGACCGCACGATGTCGTTCAGTGCTTTGGTCACGAATACGACATTCGGATCAGTAATGCAGCATTCATTTTGGCACAGGTACCACTTGGTCCGAACCGGTGCCGGTGAGGGGCCACTACTTCTTGACAATATTTCCTATAAATTTGCATTCCGGGTCGTCGGGGATCATGAATGTGGCGCTCGTCTCCATCACCATTCGTCGCTTCTGCCAACGCTGAGCCTCGGAGGTGGATGACCTCCTTTTTACCGGCTCAGTCTCAACAGATCTACCAAAATAGGTTCGCCCCAGCTCCGCTCATAAACATGGTACAGCATCGTTGTGCGAACCTATAGGGGGTCGTACTTGGCCGCTGGGGAGGGGGGGTCGTAATCTCAAGGGTCACTCAGAGCCGGCAATGCTTCGACATTTCAGTTGATAGTGGGAGTGGAGCTATGGAAGTTAAGATGTTAAAAAAATGAAAATTATTATGAGTGTATTCTTTACAGATTGAACTGCTACGTTTAACAGCCCTCTTTTCATGCAAAATCCCCAAAATGGGTTCGTACTTGGCCGCGGGGGACATGGGGAGTATCGCAAAAGTAGGCTCGCTAGGCATCAAACAGTACAAAAGTGTCATTGCTAAGTTTGATGGAAGGAACGGAAAGCTGCAGAAGACCCGGATGTAAATAGGACTACAAAATAATAAAAAATTCTCATTAGCAATATAGCAAGAATATTAAGAATAAGTAATAAATAAATAAATAAATAAATAAATAAATATCAGTTAATAGCATGAACTCGTAAGTACGTAGATGACTAAATAATACGTCTCAAACAGATTCGTGCGTGTTGTCCTTTCCAAACCCTAAACAAACATCTGCTTGCATGGATAAAAGCACCTGAAATCAGAATTTACACCTTTCCACCACCTCTGCATAGGAGCGTAATGCACGGCGCACACTCGGACCAAATCGATCAGTGATAGCCGAGCTCCTCTTTCATTGAAGGGAAATATGTGTTTTGAAGGCACACTGAAGTTTCCGAAGGTATCCTCACAATGGCACATAAGGAGTCAATTTTTCGGGTGGGTCAGAGGGTGGCGCATCTGTGACCCATCTAAAATATCTCCTGAACTAGTGGGTCTTCAGAAAAACTGTAAAGCTTATTGGAAAGAGAAAAGATGGAGGGGTTTCAGGACGATTTTAATCCTGATGAAATTGCGTTTGAACGAAGCAATCCTCGCGTGAAGCATGGAAACCAGCTCGCGATTTACCCCTAGCCTATCCAAAACCCATCCGGAATATTTCACCAACGGGGGATTGTTCAGTTTGCAACTAGGTAGAATACACAACAGTAGAAACTTTGCCGTTGCATGCTGCTCACCATTCCTCAAAAGCTCCGCACCTAAAAGAGATATAAGCTCCTGAAAAGACCCCAGAACGCTGACTTTCGAGTTACCGCGCTCCAATGACGTTTTTGCAGCGAAAGCGGTACGCGCGCACTTTGCGATCGATAATAGCCCATGTTATTAGAAACGAATTTACTCGCCGCCTGGTGTATTATTTTTTCATTTTGGGCTCCGCAATTTTTTTTTTGGCAGTTTTCATCGTTTCGCTTTGTGTGTCGTCTCATGCTTTTTTATGATTTCCCGTCAACAATTCATTGAATGCACATTTGCATGGCTGACACGCGTGACCCTTTTGTGAGCAACTTTTGTGTTCACCACTTTTAGTTAATTTTCATGATCACCATGTCGCCTGTTTTTGGTGTTCCTTCTTAACAAGTTGCATGTCAACCATGCGTTATCGCAAAACTAGCGAGTTTCTATCTTGAATCCTTACGAGGACAAAACTGTAGGTAATGCGAGGCTGTTGTTCAGCCTCATATTGCATGAGGCTGAAACAGGCTATTATTGCCTGGATTTTGGAGCAGAGTCCGCCCTTCGAAAATCCGATTCTTTCAGGAAGCCATTTCTGGTGAACATGCATCTGGTTGTCAGTTAGAGCAGGAGGGGGGGGCGTCGTATCTGAATCCTCTTCGAGAGGGGGGTCGTACTCACACCGCCATTTCGCACATCCCCATGCTGTACCGTGCTCATAAACCGATCCTCCCGCTGCTCCATCTAGGAAACGTGTCCGTTGTCAGGGCACCAAACAACACGTACGGTCAGAAATTCAGCGGGAAAACTTACATGACTTCGCAAGCGCAGTGGTTGAACAGTGTCACGCTTTCTTATGAGAAGTTCTCCTGCGTTGTTGATCTTCCTCCTCATCGGTAATGAGGAAGAACAACCTATACAACTGTTGAACTCTCAACCCTTTTTCAGCAATGCTATAACGGCGGAAAATACATTGGTAATCAATGCAGCTGTCCAGTTGGATGGACTGGAACGTTCTGTGAACTGCGTGAGTATTGCTGAGCTAATCATAGTCAGAACCATTTCTTTCAAACGCAACTACCATTGTTTTTACAGCGAAATGCACAAACAAAGGAATATCTCCTGAATTCATCCTGAATGAAGTTGACATGGTGTTCATGGTTGAACTCACTGCCCAATCTCATGCTCAGGTTAGGGCTTCGTTTCCTCTCATTGCAGTTCGTATGAGCGATTAGATTGAAAACTTTAACGGATTCAAGTCTTTTCTTCTTGCATCATATGAGTGGCAAAAGTAAGCCTAAGTAGGGGCGCACTAGTGACAGAGGGACAGCGGCTGACTCTCTCCGCCTCTTTCTCTGCCCACTCGATCGACAAGGACTGCACACTTATCTTGACGATTTGATCGTATAAGGACTTACATGTTTCAATTCCAGGTGGTCTCCCTGAATATGCAATTCGCCGAGATGATCCGTGACGTGCAAGCGCAAAGTCTCTCTTGGATCAATCGGTTCTACCTGGTTGGATTCAATTCCACATGTGAGTGCTTCTCAGCTTCGTATACCTCAGAAACTCTGACTTGCAGCCTAGTTTGAGCAATAGTCGAATGAATGTGTATTCTCCGAATCAACCTTTTTCACCTTCTTCACCACGTTCCTGCGTTAGGGTTAAAACTCGTTCAAGTCGAAGATCTCCATCCTAGAAAAGCCTTTCTTTTTACAATTAGTTGGGAACATAAAGTCCTCTTTGCGCTAAAACGAAAAAGTTTTTAGCCTTCAGTTTTGCTCATGGCGCATGGCTTTCCCGCACCGACAGGCGCTTCGTATAGTGCTTATACGAGAGTCAGATGGAGGCATCTCTACGTACATAGGTTCTTGCGCAGCGCTAGCTTATTTCCATCACTGGCTGGCGCCCCTAGTGGCAACAATTAGCGAAAACGGGCTGGCGTCGTTCCGAATGTACTTTTGTGCGAACGCCCTCACCCTGCGCTCTTTTAGGCACTGTATGTTTATGTTCAAAGGGTCAAACTGCCTTCGGAGCTGTGAAGGGAAAAATATGGGAAGGGAATATATAAGGAATAGGTGAAAGAGATGAATGTTCTGACTTACAGAAGTGTGACAGTATTGCCTACTAGAAAAAAATGTTCCGTAGCTACTGTCAAATAGACATTTGATTTTCGGAGTGGAATTTTGAAACGAGTTCCCTTTTTAGGAGAAGAAAAAAATAGCAAAGCAGAAAAAGTACAATGAATAACCAGAAAACAGCAAAACTGAAATAGTGTGTGCGGTGGGTGTTCTTTTCAGTCTGACACCTCAAACATGGATAACTA